GGAAGAGACATAGTATCTTTCAACTGCTAAGAAGCCAAAAGCTGGCTTCACAATTACAGCCAACAGAACTGGATTCCTCAGCAAGGAATTGAGTATTTTACTGTTTCACTGCTATCTTTGATAAGGTGAAATCTAAACATATTCAGAGCACTGGCAGAAACAAAAGCTTCCTCCACATAGACTTGGCTCTGAAGTGAAGTCTATGTCACATGATACAGTTGTCACTTCATTTTACAACGAACATTTTAGGTTATCTCACTTCAGAATAACTCATTATTTCTTTGAAGTGTGCCATATCCACTGAACATTATATAAAAAGTCCAGCTGGTCATCTATTCAAGTTCTTATATACACTATTTAGCAATAAATGGCATTTTTTAGAAAACAAGCACTGAATGGTTATCTATTAATTTGAAAATACAGCATTACAAAGCCACAGGCATTGCCAAAGCTCAGCAGGACACAGCTGGTACTTCATCACTTAAACCACACACACACAAGAAATCCCCATGCTCATTATAGTTGTAAGAGGGTGTTTTATTAGGAGGACAAGATATTGCATATTAAAGGGAAAGCATCAGATGGACAAGCAGTTGTATGCAAGGAGAAAATCTAAGTCTAAACTGACATTTCAGCATCAGTTTGTGTTTCTTTCAGGTTTTCCAGACAGAAAGAAACTGCTCAATAAACAGAGAACTAAAAGCAAGCTGATCTGGAGGTAGCGTACTTCGCTCAATTTACAAACATCCAAAGTCGCAAAAGAAATTAATTATCTTATTTCCCATATTTAGTAATGGCATCAATAACTTAAGAAAAAAAAAAAATCTTAAGATTCAGACTTCAAAAAGTCCGGTACTTATATTCTTGCTTTATTAAGAGTTGTATCTCTTAACAAAATAAAACTCCAGCTTAAAAACCTGGAGAAAATGTTTACATAACACAAGAGAGGAAGTTTCACCTGCTTGTTTTTAACACCAGAAATTTATTTCCAGCTCATCCACTCACCCGCAACCTGTGGGCACCAGGAGTTTATTCATTTTTAACTGCTTTATTTCCTCTTTCATGTTTCAAAGCATGAATTTTTATAGAGGTACTAAAGGCCACAAAAGAAAGCAGCAATCTTTAAAAATACAAGACTGGGCATGCAGGGTATCACACAAATTACAATACCCATGACCAGCTGCTCACTGTTTAAAAACTTCTCAGCTGTGCATACAAGCCCCTCTGCTGGGTAAACAAAGCAAGTAAGTTTCTGTTAGATTGATTCTTTCCTTTGGTTTTGGAACAGATTCTGTAATCACTCTTCAGGGGCCACAGACCAGCCATTAGATCAAAACACACAGAACACTTAGTCTTAGACCATCTAGGCTTCTTCATGTGCCAGCAGGGCATTTATATAATTATTATCTGGAAACTAACCTGGATTAAAATTAATTTCTGCTTCCCCCTCCCCCCCCCTCTTCTGGGTTACTTTTAACCTGGCTCAGTTTCTCAGACCAATTCACTGGCTGACACTTGTGCTAGCACAGAGAGAAGGCAGCGCAGGGCAGCACTGCTGACTTCTGCCAGCTTAGCTGCTCAAGGAGCCAGTGTTAAATGTCTAGCAGGACTACTTCTAATTCTAGCAGGGACAGAATGCCACCACTGCTGTTCAGACTGGCATTACTCTCTCCAGACTGGCAGCAGAGATGCAGTTACAGCAACCGTGCTGTGGACACCTGAAACAGAAATCACGATGTGCTTCATGAAAGACTAAGCCACTAACAACTGCTCACTGCAAGCATAGTTTGAATCCTGTCGAGTGACCTGAATATAAAAGGTTTTGAATCTCAAAAGTTTTTGAAAACTTCCTAGTAAGTCCCTGTGTAAGCCTGGCAATTACATAAATTAACAGCTCCTAAACTGTGGTGCCAAAGCTATTGAGCATGGCTTGCAGAACTGGTCTCATTTTTACAGTGTCTTCAATTTAAAGATTAGACATATATAGTTCCACAGTGGTTCACAAGAAATGCTGTGAATTGATAGCAGTCTGATCCTACTAAAAGTTCAGAAGCCACTGGTCTGAACCAAGATTTACTAACTTACTTCAAACAAACAAACCAACAAAAAACCTCCAAATTCTACAACACATCTATCACAACAGGCGAGGACACAAACAGCTATTACGAGGTTACTGCTGCTGTTCTGCTCAGAGTATCCTCTGTTCACCCACAGTTCCTTCTTGCCCATGAAGATAAAGCTGCCTTAATGTACATAATAAAACTCTTCTCTGCAGCTGCTGTCTTTCTGTCTTTTGTTAACAATTTCTGCGCCTAATTCAAGCTCTCCTAAGCAGTAGTAGAGTTAGGCTGGCATATCAGTTTCTCTGTTCCCTACAGAAGAGCAATGAAACTTGTCTGTCTAGTTAACCATTACTTGTTACTGCTTGGGAAAAGCAACTTGTAGCAAGGAAACCACCACAATTGTCTACACAGTTGCGCAGCAAAAATAGAACCAAGACTTTTCAAGAATTTTAAAACTTAACTGCTTATGCAAATATTTTTCTTCCTCTTCAGTCTAGCTACCAGTATCCCCCACTCAGCCACGAAGTGCAAATATATCCCAAATGAGTTTCTGAAAGCTTGAAATAGGTAATGAAATAGCACGTTTCTAGTTTTAAATAGAGTTCAAAGTAAAATCAGTTAAAAAAAAAAAATCTGTCCACAAGTTAACAATAAACAAGTAGGTTTCTTTCTCTCTCAAACAAGAAGTCAGGATTTTGGCTCGATAC